CAGGAAGAGAGATACAGGTAGAAACAAACTCCATGTTCCTACTGGCCCTATGGCAGGCCGTTTTAACACAAAATCAGCTTCACCACACTTCAATTCCAAATATCTGACGTATTAGCAAATGAAGATATCTCTAATTATACTTTAACTAGACAAAAGAACTTTTTGAGATATCTCTAATTTCATTCTGAAAAATATAAATGACACCATGAATTTCTATTGAAGCGTCTCTCTATCTGAAACACATATTTTATATATCAACAATTAAATTATGACTAAAGTAAATTAAAAAAATGCACTTTTTGTTCTCACTGGTCATAATTACAATTTAAGATTTCTTGAACCATGATATCTTAAATATTCTTATTTACTTTCATTTATTTAGGGTAAACATACTTACAGGTTTGGCTAGGGCAAAAATTGCAGATATCTGGATCTGCACTTTTGACTTTCAAAATTAATTTTAAGATATCTCCAAATCAATTAGACATGTCTTTAATTAGACTGCTTTTCTATTTCAGATATCTTGAATTAACGTTCTGACTCGTCAAAACATCACAGATTTATGTAGCATTTTATATTTCCATAAAAAAATGGGAAAAAAAAGATTTTTGAAACTGCACCATTTTCAGTCATTTGAAAAGTTTGTAAGAAGCCCAATTTTTAATAGCGATATCTAAAAACGTAATCTTTAAGGCTACCCTTACATTTAATGTCTTGAATTGTAATTAGGAAGGACTTCAAATGATGAATCTAGTCTCTTCAATAATGTAATTGAAGATATTTTGGATTATTCTTCTTCCTCCTAGTCAAAATATGAATGCAGATCATTTAAATTATCATTCAGGATGATCAAATGTAATTGTGTCCAGTTGAAATGCATTTTTAGATGTCTAGGATGAAATTACAGATAATTGCATTTTATGTTAAAATGGCCTGCCGTAAACCTCACAAAGCTATCAGGAAACAGATGACCCAATCATAAACCAAACGGCCTCCCCAATCTTTTTGCAGATTATGGGCATCTTTTAAAAACCAGCCACTCTGTCGTGCTCTGAGACTCAGACATGAATGTTTCTGTGTGAGAGCGGCGCAGAGCGAGCAGGACACTTGCTGAGGGTCTATTTTCAGCTCAAGATTAATACGTCTTCTGTTGTCCAGTGAGTTATTACTGCAGGGATTAGGAGATCAAAATAGAAATAAACATCAGTGTTTATTGTCATTGGAATAAAAGGAAATGTCAAAGGTCACTCTGAGATTAAAAAAACAATGCAACACACACATTACTGTGGGTAGACGTCCTGACGGAGCGTTTTGCTCTGTTCTGTTCTGTTCTGGTGGGTTGGGTTGGGTTGTATGTCCAGGTTTGAGAGACTTGAGGAGCAGCTGAACGATCTAACAGAGCTGCACCAGAATGAGATGACCAACCTGAAACAGGAACTGGCCAGCATGGAGGAAAAGGTCGCCTACCAGTCCTATGAGAGAGCCAGAGACATTCAGGTAAACACTGACCCGACTGCTGCAGATTTATTTACACTCTTACTCTCTTAGTCACTTATCAACTTGATGATTGACTTTCTTACCTGATCATTTACTTATTTACGTTTCTACTATTTACCTTTTCGACTTACAGTTAATTATTTACTGACCTGCCTTCATAATTATTGATGTCCTGATCGACTTACGACCAGAAGCATTTCATTCACTTCTTTTCCTCACTTACTTAAATATTTATTTTCTTTCATATCATTCACTTATGTACATGTGTGTGTATTTGCTACTTTGTAGACATTTCATAACTTAGAGTATTTATTTACAATATAATTATTTACTCACTTACAAATGCATTGTTTCACTGACTACATATTTATTTACTTACCTATTCACTTATTACTTACTCAGTAAATTACTTATTAACTTTTGTCAACCTGCACAAACTTCAATTGCTTCCTTTCTCACCAGGTAGCGCATTTGTATACATATTTAATTACTAACATATTTACCCACCTATTTAGTTACTTAGCTTATTAATTATTTAGGTTTTACTAGCATCCTCACTTAATAATTTATATGTTAACAATAGTAAGTATATTTTTTTACAGACTTACTTCTGTGCTTATTTGCTAACTCAACTAATGAATCCACTTTGCACCTTATGATTTATTTATTTAAGTGCGAGTTTTGTTTCATTTACCAGTTGGGTTATTAAGACACTTGAATGATTAATCATGCATACTTGTAATGTCAGCAAATTCATTCAGAATGTTTTATCTTAATGGTTTGTTGGGTGAGGAGGAAGTTTTGCATCTGCTTCACTTCTTCCTCTCTGAAGATAAAACCTGAATCTTTTCTTTGTGCTGCACTTTTTTGATGATCCAGCAACTTTAAATGGATTTGACTGGAAATTGATGAATAAATGATCATCTGTAGGAAGGGCGTTAAGGTTCAATTTACATAGAAACCGTAACATTTTGCTGCCATTGTTGTTGGAGTCTCTCAAGCTTTATGAAACTTTTCTGAGATGTGAAATACTCCACAGATGTGAAAGTCCGCATGCCCAGAAGGAACGGCTTCAAGATTTACTCTGCGTGGGAAGACAACAAAAACAACAGTCATTGTGCTACTAAACATGTCCAGCTTAGCACATTTCTGATAATGAATACATGACGATCTGAAATCGCAGCGCCATTTAGTGGCCTGGCATGACAACTACAGCTAACCAGCGGTCTCTCTTTTTGAAATTTGATTAAATTATGAACCGTTGAGGTTCAGGGTAGGGAAAAAGAAACCATGATGGGTTTAAGACGAGCACATAACAGTAAGACAAAGAAAGGAAACGGAGCCAGTTTTAAAACAAATGTAGATATACTGGCAAATATTTCTCTGAGGAGCAATAAAGTCTAAAACTGATTAAAAAATCAAAACAAGTGGTAGAACCTCTCCAATTATAGCACTATATAATAATTTTAGCGAGCAATAAAACAAGATTTACCACATCAGATATTTGCTATCAAGGTCTATTTTTTGTGGACATTTGTTAAAATCCCACCATCAAAGATGACAAAAGGGAAAATCAGCATGTTTGAAGTAAAAAATGATCATTCACAGTGACACTGGCTCACCTGGTTGTTTTCTGGGCCTGTGTTGTGCAGGAAGCCGTGGAGTCGTGCTTGACCCGCATCACCAAGCTGGAGCTGCAGCAGCAGCAGCAGCAGGTGGTGCAGCTGGAGGGGGTGGAGAACGCCAACGCCCGGGCTCTGCTGGGGAAGCTCATCAACGTCATCCTGGCCCTCATGGCGGTGCTCCTGGTCTTCGTCTCCACTTTGGCCAACTTCATCACCCCGCTGATGAAGACCCGAGCGCGCGTGGCCGCCACCGTCCTGCTGGCCTTGCTGCTGTTCATCCTGTGGAAGCAGTGGGATTTTGTGGAGTTGTGGTTGTTGCCCAGCTAGACCTGGATTTAAAGGAAGGACGGGAGCAAGGAGACACAAAGAAGCTTCATCAGAAAGAGGCGGAGAGAAACTTAATGGACTTGGTACATTTGAGGAAGAACTGTACTGCTCTCCAGTTGAATAAAGACGCCGCCTGACTCCATCCAAGTCTTCAGGTGTGGATGATAGACCATCAGTTTCATTGCTATCACCAAAAAAAAAAAAGTTTCCTGCAAGAAATCTGATTTTCTAACTATTTAAGAGACACAAAAGATCAACTTGCGCCTACTGTAAATCTTCATGTTGAAGCTGCAGCATATGTTTGAAACCAAAATGTTTTTTTTCCACGAATGTCATGTGCTCTCATGCATGTTCTCACATGTGCACTCAGATGCATCCAGCTGGCATGAGTTGGCATCTCATCAATGACGAATAAATGTCTTTTCTGCCATTTCTGTTGTCGGAAACTAAAGTGCAGACATGTCGTTTCTCCACTCAAGTCATTCTTGTGTTTTTCTTTCACATCCTGTTCTGGTGTTACTGCAGTGCTATTGGGCTCGTTTTCGGTGGGGGGGAGGGTCACAGCTGAACCTGCTAAAACTCACAACACTGAGTGAAATAACTGATTCTGTACACAAATACTAATAGTGAAGACCTAAAGCGACCCACAGTGTCAAATTACCTGGCATGTCAACGTTTATATCCAGTTTGCAAAAACAAATGTTTTATTAAACTGTGTAAGAAATAAATGATTTCATATATGAGACTATGCTTGATACATTTTTACTGTACAGAGAGGCTGTTTAAACACAAACTAATGGCTTCTTTTTTTTCACAAATTTGCTACTGAGCTCAAATATCCACTCACCCAGTCCAGATGCAGAGGATCTCTGAACCAAACTCATGATGTGCATCTTCCAGGCAAAACTTATAAGCCTGGAAATACATGAAACACTGACCGAAATCTTTAGTTTTCACAATAATTCTGATTATCCTTCTTTGACAGCAAGCCAATCGCAGACTGACAATAATCTTAAAATCCCTAAATCATGTCCTGTTTTTATAAATCATGTCTTTTCTGTTCCTGGTGCACGAGAAATGTTTTTCACAGGATTAACTAATACAGTAAAAGTGAAAAAAAAAGAAAAAAGAAGCAAGTTCACCCACCTTCAACTTCTGCATGAGGATGAAGTAAAAACCATCTGGTCTTTCTGATTTTGAACAAACTCAAAGTGCAATACATCAACAAAAGGTCATTTTGTTGATGTATTCATAGGATCTGATCTTAGTTTTGATGAGGAAAAGATCCGATTTCTCAGCATTTGATTGAATTTGTTCACAGATCAGAACTTCACTGGTTCTGATCAGGCACCTCCACCTTTCGACGCGGCTTCAGTCCTGTGCTCCTGCATCGGATGGCTGAATTATCTCCTCAACAAGCAGCCAGCAGTCCTGCTGATGACCTAATTGAGTGATTCAGATACGCCGGAAGCAAAAACATCACCCACATTCAAACTACCAAATCTGCTAAAAACAAAAAGAAAGGGGGAAAAAAACCCAGAAAGATTCAGATGTGTTTGTTGTCTTTTTAATAATTACTGTCAGGCAAAACCCTTACGAACAATACATTTATGACAGGTATTCTTACAGTACAAGACAGAACTCAAGGAGATCAGAGCCAGTGGCATGGCCACAACTGACCGCTATCAAGTAAGACATTCATCGTCATTTAGATTGTTCCAACTTTCACAGAGTTCACAAATGTGTTTTGCATTTGACTCGTATCAAACACAAGAGTTTTCTTGATTACCTAGCAAATTCTAAAGACCTCGATAGAAACAGCAGAGTAGAAAAAAACAAAACAAACACAAAGAACAAAACCTTGGATAACAAGCAGAGGAATTCCTGATTTTATTTCAACTTCTTGTTAAGATGAACGATGTACAATATATTGCTTTCAGGTGCACGACTTTAAAACGGGTATACCTCCCCAAGAAACACATTCTTCAGATTCACCTTCCTCTGCCATTTTTTTTTCTTATTATTATTATTTGTTTCTCATCTGCCAGCAGGTTAGACAGAGGTGCAGCGGTCAAACCGTTAAACCGCAGGAGGAGCTGCTTCTTAAAGGAATAAACGAGCCAAACGTACAGTAGGACCAGCAGCTCCTCCAGAGAATTGCAGCTTCCCTTCATTCATCATCATTCGTTGGAAACTCAGTTTATTCGCCTCTTTTCATGGAGTTAAAACAGAAGGACCAAAAAAAAAAAAAAAACTATTCATGTTCTCTGAGAGTCTTGAGCCTAAGACACAGTATCCAGTCACAGCGTACATTGGAGGAGAGGAAAAATAAAAAAAAAATAAAAATACAAATGACACACGGTGAGTATTAAAAGCTTCATATTTGATATTACACAATAATTAAAAAAGTTGAACAGGAGGCAGCACGGAGTTTGGACCGATCACATATTTAGTGCTGAGAGATCAAACGTGACACTAAAATGTGAAAACAAAAGAAGCGTTTCGAACTCCAGAGTCCGTGTTGCCCGTGAATGTAAAATGCTGTCTCAGTGGAGCGACTGGACGTTTCCAGCCTCAATGTGGTGTGAAAACATGGACACACATGTTGGGTGTTCAGCAGGACAGGACCTGCTCCCACAGTCTTCAGGCCATGAAGTAAAAAGTTCGACCTGCAGGCCGAAAAACCTGCAGCCTCATTTATGAAAAGGTTTCTCCGTCTAACAGACATTATCCTGCCTTCTAAACATTAATAAAGTTTGCCTTCTATTAGACATGGCAAAAGTTACCCACCACCTCCATCGGTTTCATCTCCAACCACAGACGCATCTCAACAAATTAGAACCTTGGAAGGTCGAATTTAGTCAGTAGTTCAATACAAAACTCCCACCGTACAGATACATTACATGGAGTGATATACTCCACGTGTTTATTCCTGTTAATGTGACGAATCCAACTTGCAGTTAATGAAAACCCAAAATATAGTTTCTCAGAGCTTTAAAATATTACGTAAGACGGATAAAAATGAACGCAAACGTGATTTTATGGATGATTATCCAGTAGACAGCAGGGGCGCGCAATATAGAGTTAAAGTTTTATCATTATACTTTGTGATACTATCATGATGACAATAAAAGTAACAAACCAAACTATTTATTACTTCTTTTTAAGGTTATTGTATAAACTGCAACTGCATGACATAGCAAAATACAAGTACTCTTTTAAAACATGAAATGAAAAAGTCTGATTAGAGATGCTAACCTGTGCACAGAAACTGCATTTAATTATATTTAAATTTATTTGACAGTCATTGATACTTTCATTGAACAAACAGTTCAATGAAACTGTGTCATTGAACTGTAGTGGTAGTAAATTAGAAATTATTGTGACAGTAAGAAATTATGATAAATGATAAATACGATAAATGCAGCAAACAGTCATAGAAATTTCCCATTATTAAAATCACCTGAAGAATGTTTCCAGGATTAAAAAATTAATGTCCCAACAAGACAAAAAGACACTCAATGCAACTTCAGTTGCATCGATTATTACAATAGTGTGTTTACAGGTTTCAGCTGATCCAGGAAGCTGCTGCTGACTAAAACCAGGAAGATGGAGAAAATCACCCCACATCTAAAATCCTGTACTCAGATTTTAAAATGCTGCTAGTTTATAAACCACTGAACGTCTTAGCACCAAAACACCTTACAGATCTGTTGTTGTTGTACCAGTCTTCTGGTTCTGATCTGCTCTGCATCAACAGAACCAGAACCAAACATGGCAAAGCAGCTTCAACAAACATCCAGAAAACTGCAAAACAGATGAAACACTGAGTTTCTTTAAATCAAGATTAGAAATCGACCTGCTTAGTGTTGCCTTTGTTTCATAATAAGAGATACATTTCTGCTCTGGATTACAACTGTTTTTATTTTCAAATTGCCAATGTAATGTAAAGTTTCTTTTTTATGTTGTTTTTTATCGTGTAAAGCATTCATGAACTGCGTAAAATATAACATATAAATAAACTTGACTTAATTGATCTTACGTAATATATATATTTTTTTGAGAAACTAGCTTTAGGTTTCGAAACAGCTTTAATTCAAAATCATGAAAATAAACTGAATATAACTCTGTAATGAATCTAAATACGACAAGAGTTTCTCCCCTTTGAATTGAACTACTGACAGAAATTACGTTTCCGATGATATTCTAAGTTCCTGACATGCATTCGTACGGCCGGCTTCCCCTTTGCCCTCGTTACCGTCTCGTTTGGCAAACCCTTTCAAAGTGACATCAGGGAACGCTTCAGACACCATCGCCTCAAATGCAGCCCTAAGTACAAGTCACAGCGAGAGAGGTACCTAGGCAGACCTCTGGGTATAGAAGAGAATATAGGCCTGAGTGTTGCACACTTCCTCCACGCTGCAGACCTTCATCTCAGAGTCATTACAGTGGACCCAGAAACCTGAAGAACACAAGACAAAAAGGTAAACACCAATCCCGACGGGACGGGAGTGGGACATGAAAACGAGCGTTTTCCCACCTCCTTCTGTGTTGTAGCAGTATGCGGTGTAGTGCCCTGAGCCGAAGCCTTTACCATGATGCATGACCACAGCAGACAGATCGTAGGTGTAGCCTCCTCTGTGGACAGAGTGACCTGAGTCTGTGCAGCAGTAAGGTTTGATGTTCAGAACCTGGTCAAAGGCCACATGGACGCCGATTTTCTCCCTGTGGTTCCGGCCCGACCATCTGCCACAGGGAAGGGTTGGCGTTAAAAACAACAACACGCATCTTTGCCTCAGACACAGAAACAACCGCAGAGCATTGTGGGTAGCTTTTTGAAAGAGGTCTATCAGACAGGAAGATGGCAGAGAAACTTGCCTGAAACGTTTGAGGTGCAGCCGTAAAACCTGAGGTAAGCGGTAGATCAGAAGCTGCTTACGTGCTTCTGACAGAACTAAAGGTTTGTGGGATGATTTTCTTCTTCTTTCTGAAGCCAGGAGAGAGAATAAAGAGTTATTCCACAAAATAATAATGAAAGTAAATCTGCAACTTCATTCTTTTAAGAGGTAACAACTAATTTACTGTGCCCAGCAATTACAACATAGTGCAAGTTTTATTTATTTTTGCATCACTTCAACAAAAGATTTGTACCTCTATAGTTTGCGTTCTTACTTTGGAGATCATAAATCTCCACTTAGAAGTTATTTTACTTTGTTCAGGTCTTTTAAATTAAATTTTCTCAAACTTCAGAGCAACAGGCATTTGCATTATTCAAATTAAATAAACAGAAATGGTTAGAGTGCACATAACTGAGCGACAGTGACCTGTGTTCACACCCATTTAACCTCCTCGCATTTACTCACAGTACAGCCACAAACCACTGTGTATTTGTCTTTGACTGACTGAACACAAAATAAGAAAAATAAAAAACATATTGTTTTCAAATAAATCACAAAGCAAATCTGAAAAGTGGTGTCTTTATACAATAATCAGATGAATTTTGTTGCATAAACCTGTTTGAAAACCAAGACTTTTTTCAAACAATTTTGATCTTGATTCTAAATCCTAAGTCTGCTTTGTACCCAGATGTTCAGCACTTTGCTTGAAAGCATTTTATTAATAGTGAGTATTAGTGGTTTAAAAATTTCAGACATAAGCAGACATCCTCCACCATCCAAGTCAACCAATAAAACTCTGACCAAAATGGAAAATCTGTCTAATGAAGAAAAACAGCAATCACGCTGAACAGCGGCCCGGTTCTCTACCAATCATCTTCAAGTGTCATTAATCAACTGCAGCACTTTGTTTTCAGTGACTGCCGTCTCCCCTCCTGAATGCCACACACTCCCTGCCAGGCAGCCGCAACTTTACTTTACATCAAATCAACCAGACGCAGAAGAAAAAGAGCCTTGATTTTCTTTTATTTTCATGCCAGATATTTTCAGTCATGAAACGGAGCCGTCTGTCGGCGGACATTTGGTACCGACATGAGTGAGTTTGTATCCACGCTGGAGGCTTTTAGTAAACGCTTTGTCAACCACTGATTTTCTATAGCTTACCGAGTCTACTTTAAGGATACTTGTGAGGTTAGTAAAGAGCTCTGGAAAAAATAAGAGCCCGCTGCACTGACCCCCATTGAAAACCTCCTGGATTTTCCACCAAATATTGATTTCTGAACTTTTCCTGAGTTAAAACCTAGGCGCCGTTGTTCATAAATGAACATGATCTTGTTTTCTTTGCATTTTCTGAAAACCCTGCATCTTTTTTATTTTGACCATTTCTCATTTTCTGCAATAAATACTGAATCTTTGCTTAGAATCTCAGAGGCATGTTGTCAGTAGTTCATAGAATAAAATAATAATGTTCATTTTACTTAAATGTAGATCTATAAAGAGTGAATTCAGAGAAACTGATCATTTTAAGTGGCCTCTTAATTTCTTCCAGAGCTGTATAATGCATCCTTAACATTTGATTACCATTTATAATCTGTCATGCTTCAGGAGAGATAACGGTTTGCAACAGGACGCAGAACCATAAAAATAACAGATCATTGAACTCCAGAAAATCCAAAATATTTTCCATCAAATAAATATATCAAGAGAAGTAAGAGATCCCACATGGGGTCCAAAAATGGCGACACTTGGCTCTAAATCAGGGTAAAAAGTGGTGAAGTTGAAAATCTGAACCAGAACTTCATCAACACTTTGGGCTCAACGAGTATCCATTTAATCTGTTCAGGTCAAATACTTCAGATGAGACGGCAATTTAAAGTTTTCTTTAACGCTGACACAGAACTTTCAACTAAAAACCTTTATTATTCTGAAAACCAGAAAACGGGTTTTATTTAACTTTCCCTTTTGGCTTCCGGACTCTTTCAAACTTGAAAAGTGGGAGAAAAGTTTCATCTGGCCCTGAGGCTTAATGGTTAATGGATAACTCTGGTAGATAATCATCATTTGAACAAACACGTGTTTTGATCAATGCAGCTGATGTGAAAGGTTTGCACTAACTGTTGCAGTGGTTGCACGCGTAGATGTTGCCTTCAAGAGCCTCCATCTCTGTAAACTTGGACAGCATCTCTATGAGGGAGCAGCTGCGCTGGTAAGCAGTGGCGCCTGAGCCTTTGTTCCTGCTGTGATATCTCTCTGGAAACTCCAGCGATAAATCCCAGAACGGCTCCACTGTGTTGGACTTGTGCTTACAGGACAGACACGTCACCTAAAAACAAGAAGAGGAGGAAGGAAGAGATTAGCACAATAAAAATCAATCGTAGTGTTTTAAGTTCTTGATTATTATTTTCTGAATTTTTATATTTAATCATGCAATTTCTGTTGTTTAATTCTGTTCACTTTGCTGAAGAGGACTGTTTAAATAAAGTCTGACCGATCATTTTGATGTGGTGTCCAAATTAGAGATGCTCAGAGAAACTGGCTGGTATGAAACTCAGAAATCTGGTCTGAAGTGATTAATCAATTATTGAAATAATTGCAAACTAATTTAGTAAATTGATTAATAGTTAACTGGAGTAAACAGACTCAAAAAAGGCCTTTTGCTGAAAGAACACCACATTCTGAGCAGTAATTAAACCAAAACTGTTTATAAGAACTATTATGCATTTCAGATATATATATACCGGTATATAAAAAAAAAACAACAACAAAAAAACATACATGACAGGAATACTGTTCCTGAATCTTAGGTAATAACATTTTTACTTTCTTATCTAAGGAATTGACTTAATTATTTCCATCTTTTGAGAAACTTGTAATATCGTATGAAAAAAGTTTTAGTGACGAAATGAAAAATTTGAAGAACATGCCAATTTTTTATCCAATTAATCATCGGAATAATTGATAGATTAATCGACTGTCCTCATCTGAACACCCCATAACCAAACAGGGGAAGTTGCCATAAACAATCAACACTCTTCAATGGTCGTTGTGACTAAGCGGCTGTTTATACTACTAATAAAATGCGACCACAATCAGACTTCTGTGTGAACAATTTACGACCCAAAGCGACCCGCATGCGCTGATGTCACACAACAGCGCATTGTTCACAGAAGTAACAATTAATGCCGCCATCTGTGGCTCAATAGAAGCCGACAGCATCGACATGATCATACCAAACCAAAGCAAACCAATAAAAAAAAAAAAAAACATAAACTAATAGCAGTGGCATTTTGTGGCGCATGACTGTATTATTTTCTCAATAATCACTGCTTGCTTCAGCCACGATTTACATCCTGATTTACCATGTCTGGCTTCTTCTGGTGCAGAATCATGACGCGTTTCTCCCGTCCATGACGAAAAAATCAAATAAAACGTGGCGTGACCGCTCAGACTGCAGACGCCTTGAAAACAATGTTTTACTCACATATGGAAGTGATACAGCTCACTTTGTCTGGAGAGTTAAAAGATCAGAACTGGGCTTTATATAAAATATGGGTCCCATATGAGCCAAAACAATAAATTAATTTTTAAAAATTGTTAAGTTCTAAAGATGCTATTTAAATAGAAACTGTATTCTGCACATTAATATTTGTCTGGAGTTTGTCGAGGGTCCAATAGAGTCAAACTTTCAACAAAAACTGTTGAAATGTCCGTTTAAATCAGGGCTGCCCATCATCGAGGGCCGGCATCCTGCGTGTTTAATTGCAACCAATTAAAGAAAAATTACAATGTCGATCAAAGAGTTGCTTTGAGTGAAATGAATTACCGTCACAGAAAAAACAACCGTGGCTTTTAAGGTGAAGAAGAAACCTGACCATCATTTCTCAGGCTTTAGGGACATTTGTTATTGTTACAGAGGAAACAAAAGTGTTTTATATACAAAAACAAGCAAAAAATAACAAAAAGAGGAGTTATAAGAAGAAAAAAATATAATTTTTTTTTGTTTTTTTTCAGTTACAATGGAGCGGTACCAATAAATAAGCCATAGATCAGAATTGGCCAGTTTTCAACTGATCAGTGACCTGGAAGTCAAATAGTGAAAAGTCTGCTCTCCCTGCCCCCCGTTCATTAAATCAGGCCTGTCCACAGAGCGGCTCGGGGCCATTTTGTGGCCCCTGGAATGATTTTGTGCATAATAACAATGATGACAATTTGGCCTCCAGCAGAGGTGATTGATATGGACTGAGATTTTAAATTAAAGGAAAATTAAATCTCATTACAATGGAAAATATTCCACACAGCGTCTAACTTGTACACTCATGGCTAGATACAAGTTAAAATCCAAAACAATAATTAAAAATAACACAAAACACATGATAAATCAAGTTTTTTTTCCTGTCTTTCTACGTAAATATGGTCTAATTTTATACTAAGTAAACTTTGATGCAGCCACATTTTTTATTCATTATCTATAAAGTGACCAAATCATTTACTTACTGCTGAGACAATACTGAATTCTCTATTAATTTTTAGAAAATCTGGAATTTTTTTTTTTGTTTAACCAATGAGTTTCCATAGTTTGGAGTGACGTCAGCATGCCTTATGCTTACCATGTTGTTCCACAAGATTCCATGTATTTGGACTTTGTTTGATGGTAATTATGACTTTAATTACAAGAATAAAATTGTAACATCGGGAAAGCTAAGTAATTTTGTGAGAACTCCTTCACAATAATTAAAATTAGGAGCCCTGAGCATTTTATGAAGTAATGCTTTAGGAGAAGTCTGACAGATTAAGAAATACGTAATCTTTTAACACACCTGCATCAAATTATTATCAGTAGTACATTTTCTAAACAATTGTGTCTATTTAGAAGAAAGAATGGCACAGACTGAACTGCTGAGATCAGACCTTCATGACCCTTTGGAAGCTTTTTCTCATTAAAATGACTTCTTCCTCACATTTTTACCTTTGCTGTTTTTTTCTGATAAAATTGTGTCTTTATTCTGCCAGTATTATGACTAGATTTTCACAACAACGATTCTCATAGCCACCATACATCTCACAGAGAGGATGATAGAAATAAAAATCATTTTTTGGAAATATTTTCTGTCATTTGCCATTTCTTTTTTAGAAAAGCAAGCAAGGAGAAATCGAAAATCAATTGAAATTGAATCAAGTATGACAAAAATCTGAGATTTTATTCAATATTAGTCTGAAACAGTCTGACTGGAGTATCACTAATCAGTGCTGTATTTGCTGCCATGCTGCCGTTCTCACCTGGCTGAGCAGCTGCCCGTGAAAGATGGTGTTCAGAACCTTCAACACTTGCTTGGACAGCTTCCTCTTTGTGATGGGGATGACTATCCGCCGCTTGGACCCCTCCGTGTCCAGCTCCTGCTGCACCTTGTCCAGCAGCTCACACAGGAACTCCTGGGCGTCTTGCTGGTCGTATCCACGGAACGCCGGGATGAGGTTCCACACGGAGTGCAGCATGGCGAAGGGAGAAACAAGAGTCCACCGGCCCGACCACATGACCCTGAATAGTGTATGCAGCTCGTGACACAGAGACATTTGCTGGCGAGTCGAGCAGCGAGGCTCTTTGGGCTGGACCAGTTCTGCAGCCTGCGGGGACGGGGCAACGCTCTCCTTTTTGCCCACGGGCAAATTCCAACACCCCGCCTTCTCCATGCGTCCCAGAGGGTTCTCCGAAAGTGGCGGAGTGGTGCCACTGTTGACGACCGCTCCAGTCACCCCCTTCATGCCCTGGGAGTGGTTGGTCTTGGCCAGAAGCTCCTCAGTCTCACACAGGTCCAAAGTGAGAAAACACTCCCTGAATTTCTGCAGGTGGCTCAGCACTTGCAATATTGAGTTCATGTAGCATGTGTTTCCCAAGTTGCGTAGACCAGTGACACCTGGAGCGTGCCTCCTCCGCGTTACCGCGTGCGTGGAGTAGTACCTCCTCAACTTGGCGGCTCTGCTGATCTGTGGCGCCCTGCGGGGCAGGGCGAGCAGTGAAGGCTTCTTGGGAGGTGGAGGTAGGCGTTCTGGGGGGTCGCGAAATTTGCGAGGAATGAGTGTCATGGTTGAACGTGGCGCCTGAGTCAGAAGCCTGGCACTCTTTCTTGGAGGAATGTTGCCGAGGTCTTCCAGGAGTTTCCTTTTCACCTCCTTCTTTTGTCTCCTGGCCTCCTCAAGCTTCTCCTTGCGCTGGTTCTGAACCTCTTGGTGTTTTCTAATCCACGTCTGAAGCATCTTTCCTAGGAGCGCTTTTCTCCGGTGGCGCAGAGCCAGCTGCATGGCAGGTTGCGGCCCGCCTTCCAACACCCAGGGAGCGCAGTCCCCCCCAGCGGAGGAGCGCAGTGACCGCCTCCCTGGGCTCCGGACGGTAGAGAGAGCGCCTCTGAGGAGCTTGAGGTCTCCCTCTGCGTTATCATTCAGTACATAGTCTCCACAGGCGAAGCAGAAGACGTCCAGCTCACGCACCTCCATGGCCAATGGGTGTTGGGACTCCTGAAAGTGTTTGAGGAAGTGCTCCTCTATGAAGCGTCCACAGGCAACGTGGGAGCACTTGAGGCAGGCCCACACCGAATCCGTGGTGCTGCACTCCACACAGTGCCATTTCTGTGGATTGAGGATGGAATGGTCTTGGCCCAGACGAAGGCGAACCACGTGCTTACAGCGATCCATCTGTCCGGATGCACATGTGGCCTCAGTTATAGGACACACGTCCTGCAGCGAAGCAGCAACTCATTCTGATGGAAGATTTACACGAGAAGAAAGAAAAGGTGCAGATTTGTTAATATAAAAATATGATTTCAGTGCCTTGTAAAAGTAATCATACCAAGTCTGTAGAAAACAAGCAAATCAATTAATTGCATGACAGATCGATCATTTCCATTTGCATGATCTAGTTTTTTCTATCTCTTTCTTTCAAAAACTGAATGACAAAAAGCTTCAGTCTCAACAGAAAGCTTCAGTCTCAACAAGCTCCTTCTTTTGAAGAGCAACTTTGATTACAAAAGCTACATTTTACTTATCATTTCTGTACTTTTGTGTATTTATTTTGGATGTTTAAAATGTTTTTTTAGGAATTCAAGTTTATTGAACTATGAGAGGGTGAACTCGCATCATTATGTCACTATTAGAGACATTAATACCTGAGATTGGTCTCAGAACAACGTTATCATTTATTGCAATAACGTCTGCAACAATTTATCATGCAGCAAAATTTGTAATTGTGACAGGCCTACACGCCACTGGGAACTTTTTCACAACTATATTGTCAAACAATCTTACAGTTATCTTTTGGAGTAGGTCTATACCTGCTTGCAAATTTTTATCCACTTTTATTTTTAGAAAATAATCCAAACTCTGACAGATTAGCAGAATCTGCAAACAGCAACCATTGCATCATGCCACTGATTCTCATTCTGATGTATGCCGTGATTTTGACTGCGCCAGTCAAACATGTGAATCCATTTTGATTCTGACTGTATTTTTGCAGTCACTGTCCTGCATGAAGGTGAACCACGTGTTTGCTCTTTCCCCTACATGGCTTGCTGCAAACAGCAAACATGACTACTTATGGCTTTCTTTCAACAATAAATCTCTTCCAGCCACTCTTTAATGAACAGCAGAGTTGTAGAGTAAACAGGGGTGTTGTGCAAAGACAAACACTTGAATAAGTATTATTTTCACTGCTTTCTTTTAATAACAGCAGTCACTCTGTAGAACAATAGATTGCTGCAATCAGTGTAACAACCACTACTACCAGCAAAATATATTTAAGTTACTAAAGAAGTACTTTTATAAATACTGTATAGTTAGCTGTAATCATCTGCAAAATGTCTTTGCTGCAATTAGTCTTTCTTGGCTTCTGGAAGAACATTTCCAAAGCCTCCGAATACAAAAACTTTGGCCCATTTATGTCTACATTTTTTTATTTGTGTATCTATATTTTTTTTATCTGTCTCTCTCCGTCTTTAAGTCTTTCTCTAATGATCATGTATTCATTTACTTACCAAGCTCAGTCTAATACTGTTAGGTGGAGTATTTCCCCTCTGACATTCAAGCAGGATCACAACCTTTTATGCGATGACTGGATTTTTGCTGCATGTCGGGGGAAAGACATAAAGCTTTTGGACTATTTTGTGTACTTGGACCTCTGCCGTGTATATCAAGAGTAGGAGAGCAACTCTTGCTGCAACTCACAGGAGTGCAAGTGCTGTCATCAAAATTATAAAAATTGCATTTAAAAAATGCAGATGTACTTGCTTGTTTCGCACTTTTTTGCAACATTTTCATCTTGCGGCTCAGCGACTGCGAGCCGCAAGAGCATGAGTTTCTGGCCAGGTTTTGTTCACTTTGGCGTTTCAAAAGAGAGAGCTTGACGAGCGTGATCTAATTTTGTTTAATTAGGCTAATAAAATCAATAGCAGAAACTGTGAACACATACGATTACTTGATACATGCTGTGTTCCTGTAGGTAGAAGCAGTAAACTGGAATCTTGTTTCATATCCAAACCCCACAAAAAGGGTCTCCCCTACTTTATTCCTGACCCAGTTCAGAGCTCACACTGACCTCTGAGGCCCCAACAGAACAGCTGAGACTGAACATCCTCTGAAAACCATATGTAATTTTTGCATTCATGGATATGCTACACTGTGTTCATCTACGACATAAAATCCCAAGAAAACACAATCGGGTCTGCAGTTGTAAAATGTGACCGGTGGAAGAGTTAAAAGGAGTTGAACCCTCGCAATGCACCGTAGACCACTGTCTCTTCTAATAAACAAAACTACTGAGTATACATATATATAGAGAGGAAATGAAACGGGTTTACTAACTGTACAAGAAGTTCTCTTGATCAGATCTGTTGCATCACATCATCTGAAATCAGCAACAAGCCTCAGGCCGATCGCTCACATTCACCGTCAGCACCAACAGGAAGAGACTGGAAAACAGCCATGACAGGTCGCATAATGAACCAATTAATGAGGCCGTCGGAATTTGTGTAAATAATGCTACACAAATAAGGCATTTGCAGTGTTTCATATGAAGTTGCATGAAGAATTTTAATCAAGGCTTTTTCCAATTCCTGAACCAAATACAGTCACTGAAAGCATAATAAAAGATGTATTTTAACAAGGAGGGCTATCTTTTATTTATTTATTTCACTATTAACAAGATCGTGAATAAAACCTAGCAGGACTTGCGTGTTTATCTTTAATAATTTCTTGCAATTCCTTATTGTTTCCAAGCTCTGTTTGTTAGCTTTGCTTCATTATGAACACAGCTCAAGCTTTGGCTCCCATATACAATCTTTAAAAATGGACTTTTATAAATTGTGATTTTTGTTTTAATTGAAGATATTAACTGTCTTTATGTGGAGAGGAACTCAAGGATAAATTGTATAATTTTAAACGTGGAGTAGTAGAAATACAACGTATTTGCAATGCCAAAAGTTTTGTTTTATCATGTGCATACTTGCTGTGTTAATATTTTGAGCTAGATATAAAAAATTTGACGACCTATTAGGATACAGTAATTAACTCTTAACAGATTTCTTCTGTTTTTATTTTCATGCTTAATGATCCTGTTTAAACACTTTTATGAGACAATAGTAACCCTAGTAAATACAAAATACTATTTTAGGAAAAATAAAATGGTAAAATGGTATTTTTTACCATTTTATTTTTCAAACTTAATCTGGCCCTGTGTGAAAAAGTAATTGCGCCCTAAATGTAAGACATAGTTATACCACCTTTGGCAATAATAACCACACAGTATTTTACGCCACTGTTGAAAAATATTGACTCACTTGTCTTTGCAGAACAGTTTAAACTCGGCCATACTGGAGGGTAATTTTGGTAGCCCATCCTCCTCTGGGAACATTTCTAAATGTTTTCTCCATTTGTTCTCACTGAGCTTTGACTCCCAATGGTAATGGCTTGGCTATTTACCAAGCCATAACTTGGGCACTGATTAAAATCAGTGCCCTTGATTCTCATCTGCTTTTGATTTATTTGTTTGTTTTATTTATTTTTTGATTGGGAAAAGTGTGTTGCTTGATTGAGATTCTTCTTTTGTGCGTGTGTGCCAACTTCATGTTTTGTTTAATGTCTTGGTTGCACAGCTCTGGCAAAAATCCTCCTCCTGTGGCCTAACTGTAGAAATTAAGACCAACAGATACAGTTAATCACAGCTAATTTTTAATTTAACATAGACAGAAATTGTTCACAAAGGACCACATCGTTTTAGCAACTTAATAGATTATTTATGTTTTTACTTATGTTTGGCAAATTTGTTTGGCAATCTGAAATACTTAGTTATGACAGAAAAAAAAACATTAAAGGAGGGGGGACTTTTTAACATGTCCCACACAAACATGGCGTTTATCCCACATTTTATTGACCCGGTCTTTCTAATCAACAGACTTTCAGCATGTGCTAAATTTAAATTCTTTCGACAAAGTTTCATGGTGCATTTGAACAATTCCTTTAAATAAGGAATATAATTATTCCCTAAAATATACAAAAAGGGTACGAGTGAGTAACCAAAGCGTGGTCAATCCTTTGTGGTCTGTTCTAAACCAGTTTTTCCTCTTTGTGCAACTCATTCACTGCTTAACGGTGAAAAAATGTTCCTGGAGAGAAACCATGATCTCTCTGGGTCAGGGCAACTGGTCCCTTCTTGGCTGCAGACGAGCCGTGTTATGTTGTGCTGCTGCCGCATGCACGTTCACATTACAATCGCATTAACCCTGATATTTAACATCACTACATCTCCGCTGCATCTTTGCGTGTTTTTATCTGCTGTCCGGTTCGAGGGGAGCTTTCTCCTCCAGCCATGCTAGCCTCTAGCTCACCATCTCCATGTTGAGCCAGAACAAAGAACAGTCGGTAAGCCACTCTCCAGGAACCTCCAACAACTTTGTTGCTGTGAGCCCAGCCAGCAGTAAGTTAGCTAACGCCGCTAGCCGCTAGCTACAGCGGCTCCGCACAGGGTTTAGCTCCTGCTACAAACCCCTTTTATAGCAGAAGCTCACTTTGTTATACTTGCCGTATTTAAAGTGGTGACCGTTCCAGTTGCTAAATTAACTCGGCTGCTAACGCGTTTTTTTAAGCGAGGACAATTGAAATTAACCTAACGGTTGTTGTTGTTGGCTAACGTTAACTAACGGCTAAGCTCCCCGAGCGAACCGTTTAAAAACTCCCCGGTGACATTCTCCGCGTAGAGCCGCCTACAGAGACATGGACGCTGGGCCTCGGTTGCGCTCTCTCTCTTTTTTTTTTTACTACATTTGCATCACCTTTTATTTAGGAAAGAACAAAAAAAGAAGAAGCAAAGGTTACCATCGTCAGCATCCATCCATCCGGTTTACTCAGAGAGCTGCGGCGGATTGTTGTCCTCCTCACAGATTGAACAACCCAACTCTCGAAACGAGCACGGACCCAGCTGCTCTCATTGGACCGGGACTGAGCGGCATCCGAGAGCTTATTGGCCCGGCAGCTGAACAACAGGCGGCAGGATGGGCCGTCCTTCCGTCCACCCACCGAGGCCACATGGAACAATAACCCGAAGCTCGGACGAAAAGAACGGCTACCTGACTCCGGCTCTCCTCGCCATAAACCGGGTGGCCCGGGCGTCCGATGGTGGAAATTAATCTAATAAAATGCAGAGAGAGGAGAAGGGTAGTGCAGATTTGAGTCTGCGCTGGAGGTGGTTTCTCCTAAAGCCCACTGTGAATGATTGTTGTTGAAGTTGACGAAAAGTGACACCAGTACAAAGCTGCTGCCTGCAGCAAAAACCTTCCTGTTCCCACAAGAACAGCAACTACTTTAGACCATCAGTAGTTTGTCATTTGCATTCATGCTCTCTTTTTTCCAGTTTTTGTCACGTTATAATTTAATCTTAGTATAAATACATGTTAACTACACTGATCCCAGGTTATAAAATACAAAGTTTGAACATTTCAAAGTGATGGTCAAAGAGTATGGCATATTTACAAATTTAGTAAGGAAATAAGAGCATTAATAAAAGATTTAAACCTGTTGTTAATGCTGACTGAAGAAGAGCTAGTATAGCGTCTGTTGAAAGGATGGTCTCTCAAACCGATGGTTCACAATCCTTCATTGAATGCCTTTGAATGTGAACACACCAGTTTGAGAGACCACAGCTAGTTTGCAAAGAAAAACTGAGAATTTCTGTCTCCAGATGTGCAATGGTAATAAAGAAATAAACCAATTTGCAAACCATTCTTCTCCTTCATTTACGCAGTTGTGTATGGGTTTATTTTGATCTATGAAGTGAAACACCAATAAAATGAATTAAACTAACATAAAAAATAGAACAGACAGCAGTGGTATAAACACTGGTGTGAGGATAGTGTGCACAATCACAGCAAAAAGATTTGAACACTAAAATATTCTGTCGCTCTGGGGAAATTGAAGAAACTTCATCCTATTTTCGTTCCAGTTTCAAATTATTTAAACCAGCTTATTTTCTAAACTGTACAAAACCACAGATGCCACCATTACATGCACATGTTGAAAAAGTCCTTAAATCATCATCCTCAGATACATATTCCTTTTAATGTGCAGTTTTAATTACTGCACACAATAATTATTTTTTTTGTGTTGTAAATTTGCCCTCTCTTGTTCTCATATCTTTTACCTTTGTGTAAATATGCATGCTTTCATTTACCTTCAACTTGCTGCTGGTAAACCTACATTTCCCTGCTGACTGACAACAAAGGATATCCGTTCTTTTGAATTCTATGCCATTGTTTATGTTGAAATTAAATACTCAAAAAAATGTTTTAATCAAAACTACATCTGTAAACAAATATAATACTGTCATAGATCTTTCCTTAAAGTAATTTACCATCTATTTTTTAACCTACAATTAATTACCCCTAATGTATTGTATTTGTACCTGAATTTTCTATGAAATGGTTGATTATTGTAAAAAGATAATAAGTCTTTCTAGAAGACCGCTCAATCATTAAGGTTTTTTAAGTTTCATTATAGTAATATTGTCTCTGCTTCATTGTAGTAATAAAAAAAAACAGTCATATTATTTATAGAGCTTGTATAAAAATATAATGCATGTAAGACTTTTTTTTATCATGTTATGAAGAACCTTGCTTGCATATTAGCATTTAATACACCCACCTTTCATCAGGATGTTCAGAAATGAGCATAAAAGTAAAAACATAGACTATAGATATTTTTTAATATTAAGTGTTTTTTTTTAATTTATTACAAAAGGCTTTCAACAAGTTTAGGGAGATTAATGCAAAGTTGAAGCTTAAGAGTCTGACAACTCTTAAGCTGTCAGACTGATCCATGGGATCAGAACAAACATATGAACACAGCAATAAAAAAAAACTATGTTTCAGACTCAACGCACATTGCTTGCAGGGATCTGTAATTTACGAAGTTTGTTGAACAGCTCCAGGTACTGAGTCATGGTTTCAACACAGTCCGCTGGAGCGAAGAGACCCTCAGGTTTGGCAGCAAACACGGTTGGAAGTTCTGGAACGTTGTTGCCAAGAAAGGATTGCATGAACTCCCTCATGAGGTTCCAGCAGTCCCCTGGGACCACACAGGGACAATATTCCACCTGTGAGAAACAAACCCACAGTTGAAATGACAGACTGAAAAAGGTGCAGCTCTTCTCTTACTTCTAATACCAAACTGTGGACACACCTCCACAGATATCCCTCTGGCGCTGGAGCTCATTGTGACAGTGCCGACTTTGATCAAGAAGTCACAGTAGCGATACCTCGAGCCACGGCACTCCACTTTGTGTCCCTTGGCGTTCTGGAAATGACTTTTCAGCTTCACCATAAGGACGTCAAAGTTTGCATCTGCCGTCAGGCAGGGTCCTCCCTCAAACAGAGCCATGCAGCTCAGGGGAACTTCAGAGTTGTGCATCACATATAAGAGTTTGGAGGGCTGACCTGCAACAGGAAGGCAACACTGACTTTAAAGAAATGCAAAAAGTTTTGCAAAGTTAAGCAACAAAGTCACCTTGGTGAGAATTGTAGCTTTTTATCTTTTAAATTCAGTCAAAGCACTATAGAGTATTATAATCTGGAAAAATTCAAACTAAATTCAACTTAAATGAAAAAACAACAACTGCCATTCATTTGGACTTCAACTGACTAATAACATGAAGTAGATTAAAAGATGTTAAAAAGCATCACATTATGCAAAAGTTTACATACGCAATAGAACTCATATTTATGACAGCGTTTTTCCATCCTGCTCTTGAATGTCCACTGTCCAGCATGTTAGATATTTGATTTTTTTCCACCTGCCTCAAAGGTGACATCATGGAAATTTATTTTTGGGGACAATCTCCAGATGCTTGAAAGTTTCATGCTCTTCTGTTCAGACAATGATATGCAAATATAAAGTTCCCTCACAAGCAGTAAACATCAGCAATAGGCTTCAGACTGCACTTTAAACATATATTTGCTGCTGTAACTTGAATTATATTTTGTATGCATTTTCAATTCGTTTCTCTATTGTAATTTAATATGCCACCATTAAGAAGTTAAGCGACAACTGTTTCTTTCATTGTTCTGATAACAGTGTCCATAAAGATGAATGACTTCAAACAGCAAGGGGAAGCCTGGAGTGCCATTACTCACAATGAACCAAATCTCGTACCACATATTACAGTTCAGTACATTCAGAGACTAAGACTTTAATTTGTGGTCTGACATCATTAAAATGTGAGTTTTCACCTAAGTGGCCATTGTCATATTTGGAGGAAAAAAGGGGTTAGCTCTCTCAAGCCTGAGAACACCGTCTCAACTGTGAAGTGTAAAAGTGGCAACCTCATTTTATTTGGGTGTCTGCAGCAGGAGGGATTGGTGCACTAGAAATACACTCAATCACGAGGAACCAACATAATGCAGGAATATTGGAGCAACATCTCAAGATACCAGGAAGTCAAAGCTTTGAAACGAATGGGTTCTTCAAATGGACGACGACACAAAGCATAAACGTCTGGGTCACAAAGGTGAACCTTACCACCTGGATTTCCTGTGGACTGGTAAGTCTCACAGTCCACACAGAAGCTGCCCTGCTTCACAGCACCCAGCTGCTCCAGTTTCTTATGCAGCATGTCCACTGTCTGCTGCACACTCTTTCCCTCCGCC